AAAAAAAAAAAATAAAAAAGAAAAAATAATAGATTAACCTTAGCAGAGAAAACATATTTGCGTTAGTTGACTCACTCCAATCCTCTAAGATACAAGTTTTAACACTGATAAGATGCAATTCAAATTGCTTCCTTCTCCTCAAAAAAAAAAAAATGCACTATAGCTGATGACGATGTTAATACAACTGTAATATGCAAGTATAAAAACTTTTAGCAGTGGTGCAGAATTGAACGAATGGAGGGCTAGATTAAATCACGATGCCGACTTGATAAACAAACTTCAATCTAACACTAAAAAGCTCATTGCACGGATAGAAGAACTGGAAGCCGAGCTACACGACGAACAACAAAGTAAATTACGGGTAACAAATGATCATTACTACTGATATTTCTTCCGTATCAATGCGTTCTTTCTCCTTTTTTCTTTTTCTATTTTTCATTTCCTTCCCGTGCCTCCCTTCATTGATTTACTGGGGAATGTATGTACTGTCCAGCAGTAATAAATGCATATAAATTTCTGTAAAACTATAGCTTTTGTGCTTCTACAATTAATAATATTAGTAATAAAAATAACAACAATAATATCAACAAGAACAGCAATAATTTTAAAGCATTACTATTTCTTTCCACGATAAAAACATACAAAAAAAGATGAGACATCAGCAATTAACAAGAGTAGACAAAAAAATAATATATGTCTACTTATAGGTGGAAAAGCAACGTAGCGATTTACAAAAAGAATTGGATCTTATCAATGAAGAGGTTTATGAAACCAACAGTCATTTGAACGCTCAAATGCAAATTAACAAATTACGGCAAATCGAGGTTTGTTAGTTCAATCTTTTTCTGTCCAAATTTTAGTTTCACTGGCTCTTTGTTGTATTTGCTTTACTTGATGCGGGGACTACAAAAAGTTCGACTCCTTTTGTCCTCCTACAATTTTGGTAGACGATGTTTAAAAGACAAACAGCTCAAAGGACACCTATTGGTGTTGATGGTAATCCGAATATGAAAGAAAGGTTTTTGCTTTTTCTTTTCTTTTTTCAGAAACAAGTTGAAGTTTAATTTTTGCACAAATACATAAGCCAAGAAAAGCAATTTTGATTATCCTGTAACCTGTACACAAACGGTGCTGTTGCTACTACTGCTGCTACTATTGCTGTTACTGTTGTTGCCGTCGCTCTTGTTATTACTCCTGTTGCCACCTGTGCTGTTGCTGTTCATCAATAATTGCACACTAAGTCCCTACAGATTTGTTGCTCTCAGCAACAATTTCCAAAATAGCTGATATCATTCTAAACCACCAGAAGCCGTTACCAACGAGTGTCCCGTAGGACTATCAGTTTCCTTCCTCTTTAATTTTAAACTTATTCGGAACAGGGCTGTTTTCTGAACCAAAAACAGTGCAGATGTTAAGCAGCTGATTAAAGATGACTGTTAATTCACTTGAATCGATGAACTTCACGATATGTATGTTTGCATGCTAATCTTCAAAAAGTGCACATCCGAGACCTGAACAGCAACTCACTTCGTTGTCGGCTACTCGATTAAAAAGCGGCCAAATCTCAAAGGAAAAATCTAAATTGCTCAGCATATATTGTTCACCAACTGTATCAGCAAAAACAGGACACTTTGACGAGTTTTGCTCATGTATAGAACATTTCACTCCCAACTTTTTCTTTTCTTCGCTCATATGTATGTATCAATGAAGAATTAAATTGAAGTGACAAAAACAATAAATGTACAACTAACCAAAGTTTAAAGCAAATTGAAGTAAATTTGTCTCAATTGTTATAACGCACTCACCTTAATGCACGAAATCTCTGCTTTTCAGCAGCCAAAAACACACACAAAACTCGAATGAAGTAACTGCTCAGTTAAGCCGATAATTTCTTCTTTCCGATTACTTTATTCAATTTGTTTTCAATAGGTTATACGAAACTCGCATGCGAGTCACAAGACCACACTATAAAAGTATTATCTACGCACGAATCAAGAAGACCGATACGATCACATAAATAGACTCCCACTGACCCACTTAAAAAATCTTATACTGGACTGTTTAAAAGCCTTAGAAATAAGTTTTCTCCAAACCTTCCCCCCAAATGACTCTACCTCTCATCTTCAAGAAAAAAAGAAAAATGTGTTCCCCAATTATATACGCACGACCGAGTATATTCCTAACAACACCCCCACCAAAACAACCATAAAGTGCTTTGTATAAGATCGCAAAAAACGACCAGTATTTCAAAGGGAAGAATCTTGGGATTGAAAAACTATACGCAGTATTCTTTCTTTCATAATAATGTGGACTGACTGTTTCAGAAACACATGTACATATTTTAATAAAAGTACCTGTTTAAAAAAATTGAATGCAAAAATATTTGCCCCAGCTAATCAAGAACTTTGGTTTACACAAATAAGAAAGCACTGCTGTCGTACAATGCGGTTCAGTAATCAAAATAAAATTTAAAATGAACTACGGTTGACCGTTCATTGCTTATGAATCTGTGTGAAGAATCACTGATGTCTTTCAGAAGCAATTCCAGACTACAAAACATATCTCGGTACATTTATACACTCATAGTACAAAGTGGACTGCAAAACTTTTAAAGAATACCGATCAAGATTTCACCAGTTTACAGGAGCCTTGTTACATAAACGAAAAAGACGTATTCGACTGCAAAAACTATAGTCCAACAAGCATTAACAAATTTAACCGCATCACAGATAATTGGTACTGCGAGAATTATTTTTATTTGCCTCAAAATTTATGACTGCTCCTGAAATACCTCTTTCCAAACTGTGTACCGCTGGTGCCTGAAAAATGATAATGGAAAAAGAGAATTCAGTAAAAAGTTCAAAATGAACCTACGTGAACTTGCGGAAAAACTGCGGAACATTATAACGATTAAAAATTAAAAAGATAGTCCACTGCCACTAGCAATAAATACATCAACACTACACTGTTTTTTTTTTTTTTTTTTTTGACACTAAAACATTTAACTTCCATGGTCTAATGAACTTTTTTTGCAGGTCAGAGGGCTACAAAAAGCGATTGAAGAACGGTCAACGTCACATGAAAAAGATATGGCTGATTTACTGTCACTACAATGGTTAACGGTTAACAGTTTGCGCAATCTTACTATACAGGTTTGTCATAACTCACTTTCTGAAAGCCGAAGCAGAACTACAGAATTTCTAGAAGTCCTCACCCGCAAAGTGGAAGAACAACTTTAAGACTTCTTCTCCTCCTCCCTTCCTTAGAAGGTTATCGTAAGCGTTGAGTTTTCTACTGCACTTGTGGAAGCTTCATATCCTTAATTCCAAATAATGGAACTTGATCTGACCACTTCCAGTTTATACAGAATATAGAACTAGATAATCTTTATCTAGTTTGTTCAATTCGTTAATGACTAACAGAAATGTGGAAACAAACTTAGAAAAATAATGCACATACACTATTTAATTTACAAAGTTTTTTGTTTGCAGTCAATTGAACTTAAACAGAGTTGAAGAATGGGGTTTGAAGAAATTTTTTTCAAAGCACAATGTAAATATGAAGTAAGCGATTCGTGATTACGGGAAAGTGCAGACAAAAAAACTTCTTATATGAAAAAATTAAATGTTTTCCTATGAGACATTTAAAGTCAAAAAAAAGCTTCAAAGAAAAAGTTTTAATAGTGAAACAAAATTTTTAAGATTAAAATTCTTTTGTTATTGATGACGATGAGGATAATAAAAAATCAGTGCATGCGGCAGCAATGGCAACAACAATAAAAAAATCTGTGAAAATATAGATTATAAAAGATTCTGCCATAAAATGATTAAAAGTTTTCTGTTTAAAAAAAAAAGTTAATCTTCCCATGTCGAAAAAAAAAAATTCTAGACATCAAAACCGCATCTTCAAAAAAAAGATGTAAACATTCAATAACATAAATTAAAAACAAGAAAAACTTACACTAACAACAACAACAACAAAGACTGTACCAAATCGAAAGCGTAAAAGGTGAAAAAGTGTGAAAAAAAGAATCATTTTTTTAATGTTTAACCGCCATTCCACAGCGCTGATGCAGATATGTGTTAAGAGTCAAATAAGATGATTTCATTTGTTGCAGCCGTCTATTAATGCATTTTTTCTTTTTGACTACTAACTTGCGTTAAGCGACAACGATATGGGTGCGTTGGCTTTGTGCTGATTGGGTTGGCTGTATTTGCGCGTGTGTCTGAATGCGTGTGTGTGTGTGTGTGTGTGTGTGTTAATCGTTTTTGCTCTGATATTTGTGAATTTGAATGTTGGCGTTCAGGTTCATTTGGTTGCAACGCTTGCTATCTGCGTTGTTGACTGCAATGTTCATTGTTTGCCTGCATTTTCAGTCCTGTGCCTGAATACATACATCATACACACTTGTATTATGAGGGCAAACAAGAAAAAAAAAAGCACAGGAAGACAAGGGCTGAACGACGAAGTAAAAAGGGTTGAGGAGAAGGGGAAGCAAATGGAAACGGGGCGAGTAAGAGCCCCTTAAAGTCCTAACCAGCCACACGCACAAAAACTCGATACAATCAACGCAACGCGAACCGCGTTTGTATTTGAGGCTTGTCACTCTTGCTTGAATTCATAAAATTTTACCAGTTAACCGTATTGGAAAAGGAAAAAATTAATAATAATCAGAACGGAGGAGAAAAATGGTTGATGACACGTCGTTCGCATTTTTTTTTTACTTGTTTATTGCTCTCGTCTTTAATCGTTTATCTTACTTCTTCAGCCACCAAGAAACTGTTGTCAAGTAAGAGTCTAAGCCTTGAGTTCTTCCAGTTTTTCGAGGACTTTTTTCCCCCTTTTTTTATGCCTTAATTTAATTCAGTAATACGGAAAATGATTAGGCAGTGGAAAATTGTGTTTATTTTAACGAATGCTAATTTTGTAGTTGGTGGCTGTGGTGCATTGCTGAGTATTGGCTGTTTCTTCTTCTTTCC